ACTATGTTGAGTCTTTTAATCTATGAATGTCATATGTCTCTCGGGTCTTCTTTGATTTCTTTCACAAGCATTTTGTAATTTTCAGAGTAAAGAACCTATATGTGTCCTGTTAGAGTTGTACATAATGGTTTTTTTTGTTTTGGTTTGTTTTTAGTTGTTGTAAACATGTGATTTAAACTGTGGTCCCAATTTTTTATTTGAAGTATAGAAATATTCTTATTTTTTATATGTTGACTTGTATCCTGTGATGCTGTTAAAAGCTTTCCTTAGTTGGTAGATTCCTTACGATTTTCCACATGGAAATCATGTGACTTGCAAAGAGGGACAGTTTTCTTCCCTTCTCATCTGCATGGCTTCTATTTTCTTTTCTTGCCTTATTGCGCTGGGTGGAACCGCCAGGGCTGCACTGAACAGGAATGGTGAGCGTGGCGCCCTTGCTTTATTCCTCACTTTTGGAAGAAATCAGTCTTTCACCATTAAGTATGGCATTAGTTGTAGGTTTTTATAGACGTTCCTTACTAGATTGAGAAAGTTCCCTCAGGGTTTGCTAAAATAATTTACCATAAATGGGCAAATTTTAGCATTTTTTTACTGTTATCGCATTTGATCGATAATGTGTTCTATAATACCAAAGCATGGCTGAGAAAGTTGACAAAATAAATCTTACATATTTGTTTCTGAAGTCGACATGTTGAATATTAACTCCAAGGAAGTTTGTTGCAATGTACCTTTTATTCATTTACCTTAGTTCACCTTTTGAAGCAGCATAATGAAAAATTCTATTATTAAATTTTAATTTCCATGCCTTGGGAGTCTAACTGCAGTGGTTTATAAACTAGCATCAATTAAAGAAAGTGGCTGAAAATTTTCCTAATTAAGATCTACGAAGATGCTCAATCTCGATTCCTTTTTAAGAATGTATCTTAAGAAATAAATTCAATAGAATCAAAATATATTCATGTAAAATGTCTGACATTAGGGATTGGATTTCATAAATTCTGGCACATTCAGTTATTCAATAAATATTTATTAAATGTCCACCATGTGCCAGTTTTTATCTTTGGCCCTAGTGACACAGAACTGAACACGCAAACAAACCCTGCTGCCCTCATGAAAATTGCTTTCTCATGGGAGAGACAGACATAAACAAGACACGTCGTAGATCCAACAGGATGGCAGACAGCGGCAGTGCTGTGGAGAAAAATAATGCGTAGAGCGTGGATATGAAGTCCAGGGGTGGAAGGGGAGTGGAGTTCTGTTTAAACAGAGTGATGAGCAGGCCTCACCAAACAACGCAAGAGAACATTAAGCATTAGAATTCGGAATACTGTGTGGCAACATAGAAAAAGTTCATGATATATTGTTAATCAGAAATCAAAGAATGAAAAATGGAATGTTGGCTGTGGTTTCAAGTATTTAAGTATATACATATATGTGTATACAAAATTTTAAAAATGAAAATCATTGTTTATAAATGATTTTAATATTATTTTGCATCATTATTTACTCCGAGCATATTACATTTTCAGTTTAAAAAAAGGAAAACATTTAAGATTGCTTGGGCCTAATTCGAAATTGAATGAAAGGTAGGATGAGGAAAAAGACAGAACTCATGTTTGCTCTGGAAGAATTTTACTTGGGGCACATCTGAGGAAGAATCTTCAATAAAGGCGCTTTTAAAAAATTATGTATTTTAAAGGAGATGAAGTTATGTTGTTCATGGCGTAGAGAACAATGGGTGTGTAGTGTTGGCTGTGAGTATGGACATGATGGCGAGTTTAACATGCGTTCATAATTATCACATTTAGATTTGGTACGTGAATTTATTTTTTAAGATTGACTAAAATAAAATAAGACATGTCTCATTGCAAACTACATTTTCTTATGTGCTGAAGAGATGATAAGTAATCACACAAAATGTGATCTGGTATACCTTATCTACATGGGAGATGAATCTGTAAAGATGCAGAGTGACAGGTCTGTGACAGTCCCAAAGTCTTCTGATTATTCTGGGAGCTTAGGCTTAGATTTGAAATTGGCTGTTATGCGTTCCTCTAAAAACGTTTTTATGGCGCGGACAAAGCCTGGCAACTCAGAAGTGGTTTATTTCCTACGGGTGCTGACAGATTTTCTAGGCATTGAGCAATCACTCCACCATCAAAGGCACACTCGGTATTGTCTTTGTTAGGGGTACGAATTCCCTGAATATCTCACATTCTTCTCTTCAGCATGTCACCTTTAGTGACCTAAAACCCCGGCCATCACGGAGCTTTCTGAGTTTAAGCAAGAGTTCAACTGGGGTGAAAAAGGTGAAGGGGTTAAGAAGGACAAACTGGCAGTTATGAAGCAGTGATGGGGAAGTAAAGTACAGCATAGGGAATACTGTCAAGAATATTTTAATAATGATGTGTGGTGCCTGGTGGGTACGACTGTTCCGAGGGATCACTTCGTAAGTTATATAAATGTCTAACCACTATGCTGTATACCTGAAACGAATGTAATATTGAATGTCAACTGTAATTGAAAAAATTAAAATTGAAAAAAAAATGCAAGAGCTCGATTGTGTTGACTAAATTTCCTCTTCCATGCTTCCTTTGTTTTATAATCATACCAGTGCTAAAAGTAAAAACACGTTATGTAATGAACAGGCTCCATCGGATTGCCAGACTATTCTGTTATAATGGAATCTTGTTTGAAATTTTTCAAGTTGCTTGAAAAACACACTCAGAGGTGAAATAAAGCAGCTAACTGGCCTGTGGACAATAAATTGAGTTTTGACTATAAAAGGTAAGAGAAGGAGGCATCGCGCTTTTCCAGTCCTTTTTCCCTCCTGGTTATCGCTTCTTTTTGTTTTGGCTGATGGTCTGGGTGCTCTGTGGTTGTTTCAATATAACTCTGTTGTGAAGATAAATGTTTCTGGATCCAATGGGTTTCCATCCCGGTTCCTCGGTGACCTTGAACAAGTTACTTCTCAGTACTTCTTGTTAGTAAAATAGTGGTAATACTTCGTAGGGTTTCTGGGAGGCTAATGTGAGTTAATATATGTCACCTGACTCATAATCCATGCTCATATATATAAACTCATATTTCTCTATTCCCACGGGTGCTTTTCAGGTCACAGAATAGTCACACACATGTTATTGCCTCAGCAAATGCTCCAGAGAGGGGCCGTGATCACCAATATACAGAGCAGGTGCCTGAGTCCATTTAGGCTGCTACGACAAATTGCCACAGAATGGGTGGTTTGTAAACAACAGGAATTAGTTCTGGAGTTCACAGCTCTGGAGACTGGAAGTCTGAGAGCAGAGCGCCAGCACAGTGAGGTTCTGGCGGACACCCTCTTCCGGGAGGCAGGCTGCCAATTTCTTGCTGTGCCCTCCCACGGCGGAAATTGGGCTGGGATGCCCTCTGGGGTCTCTTCCATAAGAGCACTAGTTCCATTCACAAGGGCTCTGTGCTCATGACATAATCACCTCCCTAACCTTCCACCTCCTAACGCCACCGCCTTGGGGTCAGATTTTCAACCTATGCACTTCAGGGGAGACAAACATTCAGTCCACTGCAGTGGGGAAATGACTTCCCACAGGTCACATGGGACCCAGTTCTCCCGCTACGCCATTTGCCATGTTTATGCAAATCAAAGGCCCAGCGCTCTTTGTACCATCAGGCACCGCATAGCGGTGTTTTGGTGAATGACCATAAGGTCCCATAAGGTTATAATGGTGCCGAAAAATTCCTATTGCCTGGTGACATTGTAGCTGTTGTAATGTCATAGCACAGGCATTACTCACGTGCTTGTGGCGATGCTGGTGTAAACTGATCTACTGCACTGCCAATAGTATAAAAGTATAGCACATACAATTACAGTAGTGGGCTATACCATCTAGGTCTGAGTAAGTGCATTCGATGATGTTTGCACGACCACCAAATTCCCTAATGATGCATCTCTCAGAACATATCTCCATTGTTAAAGCGGCCCATGACCGTATATACATCACATACACATAGTACAGAATTTGAAAGGTGCATAAAAGGTAAGTTGTAAAACGTAAGGCTTTCTCCCACCTCTGTCCCCCCGGCATCTGGTTTCCCTCCCCATTGTTGACTCTTTCTCAAGTGAACATTTAGATGCAGTGTTTTTCTTTGTGGCACATCTCCTCCAGGACATAATCAGATGCAATATGAAAATTTGGACCAGAAACAATATGTATTTTATGTTTAAGTTCAGGGTCAGTACAGGAAACAAAAGGGGTTTGATATAGATAGATGATGCTTACAAAATCATTGGAAGAGCTGGAGGGGCAGGCTTTGAGGAAGTCTTCAGGAAGCTCCTAGAATACCTCCAGGAAGCTTCTAGAACACCTCCGCAAAAGCTGCTTCCAGGACAACTGAGTTCAAGAACCTACGCCTAACACCACCACCACTGCCATAACCAGAAAGCCCATGTGTGAACACTGGAACACACGGTTCAGCTGCTGCCTTCAACACAGTTGTTTTTTGACACCCCCAAAGCTGGAGATTGGGCACTGAAGTTCTGCCTCAGAAAAACACCGTTCAATACCTTCACAACCTAGCTTGCCAGCAGAAAAAGTCAAAGCATCAGGAAATAGCCTCCTTCTCATTTCCCCCTTCCAGATCTCACCAAGTACATCTGATTGAAGGAATCTAATTCATAGCGGAACTATAGCTGCAAGGGAGTCCGGGAAATGTAGTGCCTAGCCTGCACGCTAACGAGAGTGAGAAAGGCGGCTAAGGGCCTAACTGGCACAGCATTTTTTATTTTTCAACAGAAGCATATCTGTAGGTATTGGTTTATGCTTTCTGTTTCTTTTTGCTCTTTTACTAGTCTATTTCTTTCCATAAATCGTCTAGCAGAAGCTATGAATGGGCCTTCTACTTTCAAGAAGGATTTTGTAGTACTAGATAGGTCATACCTGGAAATTTGTATAAATTTTCAATGCGAACCTTCACTTTAATTTTCTTGCAGAATCCCATCCGTCATGACTGCCATCCGGCTCAGAGAATTTATTGACCGCCGCCCAACGATCCCACCCAGGTAATGTTCTTTCAGACGCCGACACTGTCCAGAGCTGCGGCAAGGCCAGTGGGCACCTGGAGCATTGGAATCGCTTAAGCCGCTGCTCTGTGATTGACAGACAACAGCTGCCACAGGGTTCTAGTGAAGTTTTGGGAGGTTTAGGAAAAGATATAAAAAATCCACACTTATGGCAAAATCCAAGCAAACAGACAACTCCACATCTCCAAAAGATCAGGACGATATTGGTTTTTGCTTGGGAAGGGCTTGAGCAAGAAGTCTGAGGAGCCCAAACCCAAACTTTAGAGGGCATCTCTTTACTCCACTTGGGATAAAACAAAGCACTGCCATGCTTCTGCCACATGGGAAGTCACTGCACAGACAGAAACCGTGCATGAGCTTCTTTGTGTCTCCAAGTTCACCGATGGCCCAAGGATAACAAGACCTAGACGTGTTTTATTGTGCTAAATTCACCTTGCTGTGGGAGACTGTGATGACCATTTATAAATCCTGACCTCACACTCCCCTTACTCCTGGTTATGGGACCCGTAGAAATTTAAAAGCTAGGAAATTGGGGCAGGAACCTTCACACAGCAAGTGACTTGGGGACCCTCCTCTTGAGATCCCATCTGCTTCATGGTTTTGAGCAAGCCTCATGTTTGTTTTGGTATTTAGTTATTTTTAACAATGTTTACTTTAACAAAGATAAGTCCTTTTTTTCCAGAAATTACTGAAGAAGGGGCGAGGGTAGGGTGCTTCGTTTCTAATACTTTAAGAGCCCTCTGTCAGAGCGAGGCCAGGGCCCTCCCTGCCCTCCCTGAAACCCAGGCGAGGAGGACACAGGCTGGAGAAAAACGAGACGTGTTCCCGTGTCTCCGATTTCTGTCTCCCCACAAGCATTCGGTCTTTCTATGTGCGTCTGAGATCTGTTTTGTCCACTGTTGGGTATATTTAACCGTGGTCTCATCTCCTGGAGAAAATGAAAACGAACTTCCCTTTGCTGCTGCTGCTGCTGCTGCTGCCTGGGGCTCAGTGGAACCAAGTCAGGCACTGGGCCTGGCCGGAGCCAGCCTGTAGGAAGCCTGAGGTTATGGGTAGAACACAGAGTGGCTGGTGCCAAGGTCCTAGGCTGGGCCGGGTTCTGTTCTCTGTGTTCACCCTCCAGAGCCCCAGAGGAAACCCACCATCTCCCAGTCACCCCTGCAGCTCTCCCTGGTCTATTTTATGTCCTCCCTGCCTTGGCAACAATAGTGGGTCCAATCCATCAGCAAGCTCCCCGATCCTGCCTCCAGGATACATCTCCCATGCGAATGCTTTCCGCCAGCTGCATCGCCACCACTCGATCCAGGCCCCCTTGGCCCTCCCCTGCCGATCTACACCGCCACCCTTGTCCTCCTACAATCCCTTCTCCAGATTGAGCATTGCGAAATGTAAATTGGATCAACGACCCCCACCCCCCAGACCTTGCGTAAAACCCTGCAGGCCTTGCATTTTGCATAAAATCCAAACTCATTGCCAAGGCTTTTTAAGCCTGACTTGAACGGTCCCTGCCCGTCTACAAAGCCCCATTGTCTGTCTTCCATTTCAATAAGCCGCACTCTTCCACGCCTCGGGGGTTTTGGACTTGTTCCTTCTCCCCGATCTGCTCAGCTAGCCCCCATCGCCCAGCAAGTCTTAGTTCTGTTGTCAGCTGCTCAGAGAGTTATTTAATGATCGCCCCGCTAGAGGAATTATTCTACCCACCTCCCCACCTTTGTGATTTTCCATCTCACGCCCTTCTGGGTTTGCTAAGAGAAACAGGGCCCAGTGGACCTTACGCAATTGAGTAATTTTGTTTATTCCCTGTTGGTCTCACCCGCTGGAGTAATAGTTAACATACAGCTCTGACTCTGTGGCAAGATTAAAGTAACTTGTTTAATCTTCACGACGATGGCGAGGTACAGATGAGGAGGTACAACTGAGACACAGAGCGATTAAGTGACTGTCCCACGATCCCAGGGCTAGTAAATTAAGTGACTGTCCCACGATCCCAGGGCTAGCCTCTGGGGCTCTGGAGGGTGAACACAGAGAACAGAACCCGGCCCAGCCTAGGACCTTGGCACCAGCCACTCTGTGTTCTACCCATAACCTCAGGCTTCCTACAGGCTGGCTCGGGCCAGGCCCAGTGCCTGACTTGGTTCCACTGATTGGCAGTCAGAGTATTTGAAGCCACTGGCCTGGCTCCAACATCTGTGCTCTCGAACCTGTACTTTATTACATCTTCTGGTTAGCTTCCCTACGACCTGTGACCTTAACCTCTGCCTAGCTGATCATCACACGCGGTAGGCCCTCTAGGCACGTTTGCTGAAAAAAAACGACAATGAACGAACCAATGAGAAAAATTATTCTGTCGTTTATTTCCGGTTTGGCCTCTCGGTGTCTGACGGTGCCTGCGACAGGCACACTGTTTTGCTGTTCCTTTAGCACAGATTTTATTCAATTCGTCCTTAAATGCCTGGAGGCGGGGCGGGGTCTATACTAGGGAAAACCGAAGGAATGACGAGCCAGTAGGGGCATCTAATAAAATGAAATATTAAATGGTTCACGAGTAGTAGTGATCACACAGAATTTTCATAATAAGAATTATATTAGATGTCGATGTCAACGAGTGCCATCCCCAAGCTACGGGCCTGTGGCTCAGGGGCAGGGTTGGGTGTTGTGTTGGTTTGTGGAGCCCAAAATTCTGCCAAAAAGATCACTTTGGGGGGAACACATTTCAGAAGAAAGAATATGTGTCAGGTTTGAATGCATTTTAAAAACCAACAGAAGCTGTCTCTAAGAGCCCCAAAGGTGGCTCAGTTTTCAGCTCATCTTGTTTAGAATAACAGCAACATCTAACAGCTAACCTTAGTCACCCAGTATGCTCACCAATGTCTAGTTGACTATCACGTAATCATCGGTGTAGATGATAGTATCACCCCCACTTTACTGAAGAGGAGATTGAGGCTCCTCTTCTTTGAGGAGATGCTATGGAGCCAGCAGAGCCTGGGAGATGGGGGCACAGGCACGGTGGTCCCCCATCTTCTGTAGTTCTCAGCTCACGTCCTCGCTAAGCTGCAGAGTCCCCCTGAGCCTCAGTTTCCCGCCTTGAGTGGAAAACAATGTTTATCATCACTGTACCCCTAGCACACCTCAAACACGTCAGCGTATTTGCTTTATTGAATTGAACAAATGTGTTAAGTATTGAATGAAGACATAAGTGTTTGTTTCATCAGATCGAAAGCAGCTTCCAACTAACACTGCCATGTATTTCTTTTCCTATTTCTTCTGTGCACATCTACTTCTTGTCTGCCCGTAAGTGAGAGAATCACGGAATTCACACAGATAGCACTGAACTATTCTGAACAAAGTAATCATTCACACATATAGATGACTCTGGGTGTGCCATGGAGTTTAGAGACTTGGGTTTGACCCATGGCTCTGGCATTTATTGTCTAGGTGATATTTAGAAAGCCACTTAACCTCTCTGAGCTTCAGTGTCCTTGTCTAGAATGAGGTATTGATATTTACCTGGCAAGGTGACCATGAGAATTAGATAAAATCATCTCAGCAAAGACACTTGGTAAAGCAGGAGGCACAGACAAACAGAGAATTGCATAGTCACAGTAACACAGCTACCTCGGGCCACGGGGCCAGGCTCTTGGGGACAAACATTCTTGACCTCCCCTGCGTATATTTTATTTTGTCTGTGGTTTAGCCCAGATTCTACTCCGGTTACATTCACCCTCTCAGGGGACAAGTTTTCTCTTGTCTGGACTGAACACGTCACCTCAAAGAGCTAAGCTATCTGGGACTGGTAAATAACGTATGGTGAAATCAGACACAGGTGGACTCTTTCTCCCACCCAGGGAGAAGAAAAGGGCTTTCTATAGCCGATTCGAGAACACTGAAAGCCAGATCAGTCAGATGGGTCTGCGTAGAGTCCCCAACAGGACCTCCAGGCCAGGTCTGGGGAGCCAGCACCCACTTCCTTGGTCGTCCATTGGTTTTGCCCCACCCCCTGCCCCTGACATACCAGGCTAGGCATTTCCCTTTAGGAAGTAAAAATGCTCCTCCAAAAACTGATGTTTTAACCCGTTAACTGGGAGCTATCTTTGGTTCGAGGCGAAGACCACATCAGCGAGGTTGCACAGCCAACCCAAAGAGTTGGAGGCAAAGTGTGCCGTTCATCACTCCCCAAACCTCTCTGCTTCTCCCTCCCTGCTCCAGCTCTCTCTGCCCCTCATCCACCTGCTTACAACACTTCTCCATTCTCTCCTCCGCCCAGCCAAAACCTGCCAAGAGACACTCCCAAGGGCCTGAGGGCGGGACGTGTTACCTGGTGCTGGTGAAGGGCTTCTCCGTTCTCAAAACAGCTATTACAGACTGCGCCTAAGGAGGAGCACCTAGGTCACTGCCTGTATTCACAGGTGTTTGTTGTGTGCACGCTAACGAAAAGTTCACGGTCAAAACACAGCCTCCTGCAAACAGCGCGGCAAGTGCGAGAAACCGGTGTCCTTCTGGAACACCGACTGGAGTCTAACAAACTGTGACGTGGCCTTGGGGTAATCATTTCCAAGGTTACGCTTCGGAAACTGGATGGGCGCCTAAGAAAGCTGGGTCTCCCGCTCCCACGCATTCACGAGTGTCATTTGTTCCCTAGTATCTCGCCAAGTCCTCTCACTTCTTAAGACTTAATCCCTCACTGTTATTTACTATCTGGGGCTCAGTCGTTTCGTTCCAGCCACTGGGCAGGCCCAGACAGCTTGTGTTTCCTTCTGAAAATCAGAGCTCCCTGAGGTCCCGTTTGCACACACAGACAGACACCACCACTACCACCCCCCACCCCGCCGCCCCCCGCTCACAGCGCTTGCTTTTCATACTAGTTCAACAGCGAGGTCCCCACTGCCCCCCATACACTCCACTCTGACCCCAAGTCTGTCCAAGTCTTGGGATCACCTGGAACGGATGCAGGACAGAGCACATTCCCCCGAGTGGGCCTGCACCGAGAGAGACAGAGAGACAGAGAGACAGAGAGAGAAGAGAGAAAGAGAGAGAGTTAGTTCTCGATTAAGCATAGGAAAGAATCCACACACACACCAGAGTTAGAGTGAAAAAGAAAGTTTATTAGAGACAGTGTGGTCTCCTCTCAGAGACAGAGAGCGAGAGAGCCCGAGAGAGACTCAGAGTGACAGAGACAATAGAGGGACCGAGAAAAAGACACTGAGAGGGACACCGAGAGGGACCCCAAGTGCTTGGGGAATTCAGCTTACATGTCATTCTTAGCGTCCGTCCGGGAATTGCAGTGTAAAGACTTCGTTTACCTGTTTCCCTTTGATGGTAGGGGTACGCAGCGTGAAGGGATAAGCGGGTATAGCATAAAAAGGTAAGAATCTGCCGTGCAGGGCCTGCTGGCAATTCCCAGCCTTTGATCCATAGGATCCCCCATGGTTTTTAGAATAAACGACTGTGTTTGTTTTGTGTAGGATGCGACTTAAAGACTCTGCTTTCCTGTTTTCCCTTCACAGTTTGGTTAAAGGGTTTGTCAGTAATCTCAGCAAAAATCTTCCTTTGTTCTGCGGGGTTCCTCATGTCGGGCCATCGGGCTGATCAACATATTGCAGTCTCTGAATATAGCTTGATTTAGCTTTTTAGTTCTCTTGCCTCCTCCCCATATTAGAATTTCTTCCCCATCCTATTTGCCTGCCTAAACCCTAGATACCCCTCTCTCTTCTTGACCCACTGGGCTTTGATTCAGATCATGATTTCAGCTCATAAAGAGCATTTTGAGGACAAGAACTGCTTCTGTGTCAGCTAGAACCTGGCAAGGTGCAGGTTACACTCAGTAAATGCTGGTTTGGCCGGAGGCATATTTTAAGTTTCTAATTCTTCATCCAACACATATTTGGCAAGCTACTTCATGCTAAACTATGTGCTACTTTCTACTGACTCTCTTATGGCACCCACTGAGTGCTCAGAATTTGTAGAAGGTCTTGAAAGTCACACCCATGTCACAAACTCTATGAAGTCATCCTTCCAACAAAGGTTCCTGTCCTGTGTCTCCTCTTCTGGGGAATGGCCACGTTCCTCTCAATGCCCAAAGCCTAAGCTGGACATTACAGCACATAGCTCAGAGCTTCACCACGTCCCACACAAATTACTACAATCACCTCCTAACCAGTCTTTGTACTTCTAGTCAGATTGTCCTCAAATTTGTTTTTCACACTGCGAAATCTTTCTAAAATAAAAACTACATTACATCATTAATCTTCTTTAAAATCCCACAAAGATTCCCTGTCATCTACGTCAGGGTTCTCAACCTTTCAGATGCAACGCTTCCCCTTTTGATAACGAATATCTTGTAATGTCCCTACTAATAAATTCTGTAAATAACAGAATCCGACGACACATAATTTTAAAATATCAATATAATGCTGTAACTAGAATTTAAAAGGAAAAGTAATTTATTATAAAATAAGATGTATTTCAAAATACGAGGTCTGGTTACCACTACCCCCATGGCCTCGTCTCCCCAACTGTTCCAGCCGTGTACACCCATCTCCCCTTCACTCCCAGAAGCACTTGCTCCCTTTCTCCACCTCACTCACACCTGTTTGTGCTTCAAACCTGCCTGCCCCGCAGCCTCCCAGACAGGACTAGAGTCCCTACATCAGGCTTACAAGCACCTTGCGCTGGGACGTCATGGTGCTTCTTCATTTTTAGCCCCTATGGAGTTAATTATCAATTTTTTCCCAAAAAAAATTATTGTTAGAGTTTATAAATATAGCAAAAGTAGAACAAATAATATAAGAAACCCCCACTTACCAATTCCCACTTTTCAACAATTACCAACATTCACCCCACTGGTGCTACCTATTCTTTTATTTTTTTTTTTCCTGATATTTTGAAACTCATACTTGACATGTCAAGTATTTCCCTCATGAATCCTGAAAACAAAGACACTCCAGTCAAGCAAGTCCGAGGGTTTTAGGAACTCTGTGCTGGGAAATAGGGACAAAGACCAAATACGTTTCCTATTATACCACGATTGGTACCTACTCGTCTACGAAGAACTGATTGGAATAATTGCTTTTTTTTTTCACCCCTGGCTTTCTTCGCTAGGACGTTCATTGCTCATCAAGGAAAGGACCTCCGTGGATATTACCCTGGGCAGCTGGCAAGAGTCCACTGTGATTATAGTGTGAAGCGTTCCCCCAGGTGAGATGCCTGCCCAATCTTAATTTTCAAAAATTATACCGAAGTTAGAACGATACATTTTTAAAAAACAGGAATCACATTTTGTAATAATGATTATAATTTAACGATAATAATTGTTATTATTTAATGAATAGAAAAAGTTTACAAAGAAATGCGCCAAAGCGTTAATGATGGTTTTTTATGATTTTTCAGATTAGTGTTATTTGTATTTTATTTTTTCTTTTTCTCTATTTTCTAGATTTTCTCTGATGAACATATATTACTTTATAATCAGCAATAAATAAAAAATTTTTTAAATATCAGCTAAGAAATTTAAACACCGTGAGTTTAGCTTTTCAACTTGGTAAAATAATTTAACCTTCCTAAGTCTCAGTTCCCTTCTCAGTAAAATTACAAATTTGGCCTAAATGACTTCTGCCTTTCTGGATGTGATTTTAACAGAAAAAAAAAGAAAAGAAAACAGGCACTTTGATGTTATAGTCTAGATTTAAGAGACTGGAAACCATAATAGTTAAAAGCAGCAATTTGAGTAACTTATGAAATGTTTGATCTTGGGCAATTATCATACCTTCTCTGAGTGTCAGTTTATCTATTAAATAAAATAATTGATGTAAAATTCCAGAGCATAGTAAGCATTCAAAATATGATTGCTATTATGTTGAACTCATCATCTGGTATATTTTACAAATGTCTCTTTTTCTCTTAATTGCTTTTGGTATAGTCAACTCCTAATTATCCTCCATACAAAGACAAGGGAAACATGGCACCTATAAAACAGCACAGAGTCTAAACTTAATAGATGATCAAACTGGAAGTGGTTTTAGAAGTCATTGTGATCCAATCAGACGAATAAGACGGTGCCCAGAGACGTGACGTGTCTTGCCTGAGGCACAGTTGGTGGGTGTAAAAGCTGGGACTTGAATCTACCCATAATTTCTGATTCTCAGTTCAAGGCCCTTTGTTCTAACTCAGACACATGCTTATATTAAACTCTCGTTAGGACTATGTCCTCTGCCAGAGGGTAGACGAGAAAGGAAGCAACCGACCCCCACTGTTAGAGGGGCTCCTGCCAGCTCCACCGGGAAGTCTCCACGTGTGTCCTGCAGACTCTGGCAATTCCCCCAAACCCAACACCTTGCACCCAAATGTCGGTCCTCCTACCACAGGATGACTCAGGCCAAGGGAACCTTGACCATACTTGACTCTGACAAGACTTCTGCCTGCCTAATATTAGCCTTAAGGGAAAACTTAGTACAAATGTCAAGTGGTGACTTTATTACACTTCTAGTTAAGAATGAAAAGAAGGAAAAAAAAGACAAAAATAAAAACGGCTTACCTTCCCCAGTATATTACTCTACCGACTTGATATTTTCAGTATTAGATCTGTCCTCTGAGTGAAAATCTTGTTTTCAGAAGGACACGGATGTATTACTTGAAAATGGAGAACATTCTGGTTCCATAAAAACACTCAAAAATAGAGCGGGCTGACGATCTCGGGGCAATCACAAAGATTTGGTTCGGAAGCCAGAGCTGTCAGTGGCACAGAAGACTAGACTGACAGTGACAGTCACACAGAATCCAAACTCACAAGACACTGACATGTTCGCCAGATAACTGTTTTGACTGGCAGTGGGAGACATGCTTTTGTAAGGGAAAGGCATACTCCTGCCTACCGTTTCAGGCACCCACTTGATAGGACCAAGTACCTGTTGAGCATGAAATAAGAGCAAGTAGAGGTGGGTGGAAATTCTTGGTGCTTCTCCATGCCTCTCCACAACAGAGCTCCCCTCCGCCCACCCAGCATCTCTCCCCTGCCCAGCCCTGCAGACACGTGGTCAGATTCCTGCTCTTGCCTGTTCTGAAGTTGAGACAGAGCCACTCCATTTCCGCTTACACACTTTCTCTTTAAAGAAGGCACATTACAACCAAGTTTATACCCAAGTATGTAAACATAATGCGTTATGACTAAGCAGCTTCAGTCACCTTGTTTAAGTGAGATTAACCATGGCGATACAATCAAGTCAGACTATATCCTACTACTAAATGACTGGATTCAGACGTTCCTAAATCTCACCCAACAATTAATATTTTTTTACATCTACAGCAGCTCACCTCATCTATTTTATAGTTTAAAAACATACATGTTTATTAGAACATTTAGAAAACATTGATAATAAAAAAAATTTTAATGGAAATTTTCAATAATCTCATTACCCAGAGATAGATAATAATGCAGAATCTTCCAACTCTACACAAAATAGGCTGGAGTGGTATTTTGAAACCCTTTTTTCCAGTTTTATTGAGATACAGCTGACATATAACATTGTATTAGTTTGAGATATATAACATAATAATTCGATATATGCACTGTAATAAGTTTAGTTAATATCCATCACCTCATATAGTTATAATTCTTTTCTTGTGGTTAGAACTTTAAGATCTGCTCTTTTAGCAACTTCAAAATATACAATACAGTATCTTTAACTATAATCACCATGCAGTACATTGCATTTCCAGAACTCATTTATCTTATAACTGGAAGTTTATATCTGTTGACTACATTTACCTATTGCCCCCAACCCCCAACCCCCCACCTCTGGCAACCACAATTCTGTTCTCTGTTTCTATGACTTTAAATTTTTTAGATTCTACATAAGTGCAATCAAATTTGTATTTCTCTGTATGACTTATCTCACTTAGCATAATGCCCTCAATGTCCATCTGTGTTGTCACAATTGGTAGAATTTCCTTTTTTTTTTTTTTTGGATGAATAGTATCCCATTGTATGTATGTATATGTATATGTATGTATGTGCATGTGTGTGTATGTGTGTGTATGTGGATGCATTTGCTACATCTTCTTTATCCATTCATCTATCGATGAACACTTAGGTTATTTCTATGTCTCAACTATTGTAAGTAATGCTGCCATGAATAGGAGGTGCAACTATCTCTTTGAGATAGTGATTTTGTTTCCTTTGGATATGTACCCAAAAGTAGAATTGCTGGATCATATGATAATTCTATTTTTAATTGTTTTAGGACCATCCGTGCTGTTTTCCATAGTGGCTACACCAGTTTACATTTCCACCAACAGTGCTCAAGGGTTCCCTTTTCTCCACATCCTCTCCAACACTTGATAGCTCATCTTTTTGATAACATTCTAACAGGTGTGAAGTGATATCTTATTGTGGTTTCGATTTGCATTTCCTTGACTATTACTGATGCTGACCACCTTTTCATGTATGTGTTGGCTAGCAATCCATATGTCTTCAGATATATAATTAGCAATTTTTTTCTCACATTTATAGGTTGACTTTTTATTTTGCTGATGGTTTCTTTTGCTATGAAGAAGCTTTTTAGTCTGCTGTAGTCCCATTTGTTTATTTTTGCTTTTGTTGCCCTAGCTTTTGGTATCAAATCCACAACAATCACTGACAAGACCAATGTCAAGAAACTTACTTCTTTCCTTTTTGTCAGGATTTTTATGGTTTCAAGTCTTATGATGTTCTAGTCTTTAACCCATTTTGAATTAATTTTTGTATATGGTATAAGACAGAGCTCCAGTTTCATTGTTTTGCATGTGGCTCTTCAGTGTTCCCAACACTGAGGAGGCTACTGAAGAGACCATCCTTTTCCCGCTGTGTATTTTTGGTTCCTTTGTCATAAATTAATTAACCATATATACATGGGTTTATTTCTGGACTCACTGTTCCGTTCCATTGTTCTATGTGTCTGTTTTTATGACAATAGCATACTGTTTTGATTATGATAGTTTTTTAATGTAGTTCAAAATCAGGAAATGTGATGTCTCCAGTTTTGTTCTTTTTTCTCAAGATTACTTTGGCTATTTGGGGTCTTTCATGGTTTCAGACAAATTTTAGGATTGTTCTATTTCTGTGAAAAATGGCAATGGAATTTTAATAGAAATTTCGTTGAATATGTAGATTGCTTCGACAGTATGGACATTTTAACAACGATAATTCTTCCAGTCCACAAATACAGAATACCTTTGCATTTATTTGTGTCTCCTTTAATTTCTGTTATCAATGTCTCATAGTTTTCAGGGTACAGGACCTTTTCCTCTTTGATTAAATTTACTACTAGATATTTTATTGTTTTGATGCAATCGTAAATAGGAATTTCTTAATTTTTCTTTCCAATAATTCATTATTAATGTATCAAAATGCAACATGTTTTTGTATATTTTGTGTCCTGAAACTTTACTGAATTCATTTATTAGTTCTAAGTTTTTTTTGGTGGAGTCTTTAGAGTTTTCTATATATAAGATCATGGTATTGAAGATAGAGAGAGTTTTACTTCTTTCTTTCCTATTTAGATGCATTTTATTTCCTTTTTCTTGCCTAATTATTCTCACTAGGACTTTAGATACCATGATGAATAAAAGTGGTGAGAGCGAGCATTCTTGTCTCATTCCTAATCTTAGAAGAAAAGCTTTCAGCTTTTCATAATTGAGTATGAAATTAGCTGTGCACTTGTCTTATATGGCCTTTATATATGTTGAAGTACATTCCCTCTATACCCACCTTGTTCAAAGTTTTTATCACAAATGAGTATGGAATTTTGTCAATTGTTTTTTCTGCATCTATTAAGATGATCATATGATTTCGTATCCTTCCTTTTATTACTGTGATATTGATTGCTTTGTGGGTATTGAACCATCCTTGCATCCATGAAATAAATCCCACTCGACCACGATGTGTGATTCTTTTAATGTATTGTTGAATTCAATTTGGTAATATTTTGTTGATCGAAACTGGGCTTTTTTTGGTTTTTTTGTTGTTTTTTTTTTTTTGCATAACATCTTTATTGAAAAAACTCACATACCATACAATTTAAAGTGTACAATTCAATTGAAATTGAAACTTATGTTTAAACTTAACATATTGTGGGCTTTTTTCCTGTCTTTAAAATTATAATTCTATAGCATCACTTTTAATAGCGCCTGGGTATTCCTGTATATGTCTGTATTGCTGTCTAAATAGTTTCATATTTTTTTCACATGAAGGTTGTTTCCACTCTTTTTATTATGAAAATACTTTGATGAGCATTCTTAGAGTTAAGTCTTTGTTAACTTCCTTAATTTCTGGAATCTCTGGGACAAAATAGATGCACATTTTGAAGGTAATAATACCTATCAGTAGTGTTTTCAGAGAAATTGCTCCAGTGAATATATGCCCCATTTCACCATTACGTTTCAATGCTTCTTTACTTTTACCTTCATCTGAGTGGAGGTACAGGATGGCTATTGCTGATTTCAGGTTCATCAAACACCAAATGCATCATAGTGGTTAGGCTAGTCAAAAGAAAGCATCGGTTCCCTGAGGGTACCAAGAACTCACAAAAAATTACAAAGGGAAAAAAAAAGGAAGATCTGGCACACGGGAAGTAGCCATGTTTGAGTAGATCCAGTGGAAGTTCTGATGCAGGCCACCTTCTGTGACCTGTGATTGAAACAGGAGGAGGAATGCAAAGGGAAGAACAGGGGACTGGTATCCCCGAGCCATCTACTGACAGCTTTGTTAAGGTTGGCCTTAGAGATATGGTGTCTTGCCAATACTATCTTAATTGAAATCCACTTCTATTGAATGGATTTCAGCTGATGAGAAAATGAAATGCTTGTCTTCTACTGGGTGTTCAGCAAGCTGTTTCTATTTTCATTTAGATCTCTCATAGACTTGTCAATTCCATCTGAGAGAAAAAGTCAGTACCAGCCTCAATTAGACCAACAAACTCTCATTCGATATATTTGTTTTCGAAGATATTCAAAGCCTGCTGAATCATGGTATAAAGAAACCACCTACCAAAGAGACTATTCCCTGCCATTTTACAGGATTGGTAAGTCAGCTACACTGCTCTTACCCTCTGAGCTCAACCTCGCCTGGGCCACAGATAAGCATCTCCCATGGGTTTGCCATCTCAGCTATTATATCGGGGACCTGCCGAGTTGTAGGGACGGGTGTGTGTGTGCGTCTAGGTGCAGGAAGAATTCAGAGAGCTGCCCTCAGGTCTGCTTTCTCCTTCCCTTCTTCCCTAGCTCCCTGTATAGGACACCTCAAGGATGACAATGCGTAAGTGTCCTTGCTAGAAAGCAGGCTCAAGTCTGATCACACCCTTTGTCACATACTGTTGAGAAAAAAATTTTTCCTCATTCTCTCATTTTAAATGGCTTTATGCCAGTTATTTAACATTCGGGAGCATTTTTCAAAAATTCTCAATTTCTCATGTAGTATTTCTCTATGTGGCAGCATGCGCAAGAGTGCGAAGGAGCGGGCACCTCCACAGATAGGACCCTGGGGGGCACACAGCCACCAAGTTAAACACGACCTACGTTCTGTTGTCACCGATGCTTTTTATTTTAGTGAGTAGGATGAATTACTTCATTGATACACTTTCTAAATGAGTGAACCCCACCATTTTGGGGGCTCTTATACTGAGGCAGGCACACATTTTGTCCTCATAACAGCTTTCTTGAGTTAAGTGCTATGACTGTCCTGATTTTCCGGTGGGGGAGATCAAGCTGCAGTTAGTTAATGAGCTAGCCCCAAATCACACGGCAGTAGTCAGGAGAAGCAGAATTCAGACCCAGGCCATTTCAGACCCAGAATTCAGGCACAGGCCATGCTCTATGCTTGACATTTAAGCTATACTGCCTGTGTCCCAGTCCCAGCTGAGTGTCATCTGTCCTACTATTTAGTTAATAGTTTTCTTTAAAGGGAATCACTTGTAGAAGGACGAGGGCAGAGTGGTGGCTTGGGAAAGATCTCCTTCTTTTCTCCTTTGAGGAAAGACCTCAGTGCAGATGAATATCAGGGCAGGGCTGAGACTCAGGTCCCAGAGGAACAGCAAACAACACAGTCAGGAAGAGTGGGAACCGGACAGGACCAGGCAGACCTCGGGAGAACTGACCCAGGGATAAGGGTGGCAATAGATGAAGCTGGGATGAGGCCAAAGATTGACAGCAGGAGCTTGGGGTAAGAGGTTACAAGCAAAGCCAAAGCCGGTTTCTGAGCCGCGAGAGGAGAGAGGAGAGAGGCGTCTGAGAGAGGAGGGCGCTGAGGGAAGGGGGAGGAGCTAAAGCCGGTTTCTGAGCCGCGAGAGGAGGTAGGAGTCTGAGAGAGGAGGGCGCTGAGGGAAGGGGGAGGAGGCTGGGCACTGCAGTGAGGTCGTTTAGGGAGGGAGGTGCAGGGAGGGAGTGCAGGGTGGTAGAAGATGGAGTCCCACAAGAGGCCTTGGGTGGCTTATGTTAGAGGAAGCCAGGGTGGGGTGAGGGCATAGGTCAGGGCTGGACTTCGGGTGAGGCTGCCAGGGACTGAGGAGGGGTTAGAAAGGAGAGGCGATCGGGAAGAGTGGGTGGAGCACCTGTCCCCACAGAACTGGCTCAGCAGTCTGCCCTTCCAGACTGACCAAGTGCGAAATCCGTTTCCTTTAAAAGAAGGACTCTCGGGGGCCTCTAGTCTCCAAAGTGACGGTAAACCAGACCTTTCTTACGATTCCTCTGCTTATTTTAGAAGACGATTTCTAATTCTTTCCAAACCTATAGAAGCAGGTGAATGTTTAGCAAAGCAGTTAAATATTGACCATCATCCACTATGTTCCCGGCACATGGGCCACGTGCCATGGGAGGAGGTGATATGAGGTCCAGGCTATGGTCTCGGCCACAGGGAGCTCGCGACCTAATTGACCTATCAGAAGATGGTTAAGCACCGAGTGGAGGAGCAGAATCTGCAAGATCAGGTCCCTGGGGCCTAGGACGGCTAGGACAGCAGCACCCACAGCTGGGGAGCTGAGCCGGGCCTTGATGGACAAGATCTGCACAGCGGAGGACAAGCAGCAGGCCACCGCAGATGGGGACACTGCAGTCAAGGGCACTGGGTGGGAATGAAGACGGTGAGCTGTGCGGGGCACGGGAGAGCAGCGAGGACTCCAGCGACGAGGACACTGGCCGGACTGGGCAAGGCGGAGGGAGGAGGTGGGACATAAAGTGTGATGGGCGGAGCAGGAGACGACGCCTGAGATGACGAGGCGCTGGGGAGTTGGGAAAGCTGAGTTTGGACAGTCGGAGACATTCTAGGAGCAGAGCCGAGGGAGTGACCCCGTCGGCCGCGGAGGATGGCAGGCTGCGAGTCTGCTCGGAATGGGGTGAGGAAGGCGCGAATTCGGGCAAGGAAAGCAGCGGGACCCTGTGGCAGTGGCGCAGGACAGAGCACTTCGAAGTGAAGCTTTTCTTGTGCCCCTGGAAAGCGGAGATTTGACAAACTCTTCATTTTAGGATAGTTGTTAGGATTTAAAATAACTATCAGGAGCCCAGAATTGTGCCCAGCAACATAGTCATACCTGTGTGTACACCACTCATAACTGCGATGAGCCTGAAGAGTCACCAGGAAGTGGGTATTATTATTAACTCCCTCTAGCAGAAGAGGAAATGGAGGTTTAGACACGAGGAAACCTACTCGAGCAAGCAGTTGGCAAGTCAGTCTAGGTCATATCCAGATATGTCACACACCCAACCCTTGCTCTTAACTTTGAACCGAGGAGGTTTCATGGGACATGGGAATCTGACTCATTTGGCGTAGCATTTGGAGGGAGAGAGGACAATATTAATATGGAATTCATAGGAGTGAAATTACAACTGCTGGCGCCTCTGATAGAAGTAACGATTTTAGACAGAGGAGGAGGCAAGTGGGATCTGTATACAACTGAAAACTGGAAAGTGCGGGCCAAGCAATACAAGACCAGGAACGGGTTAGATAGTCCTCTACTTATTGACACCTGACCGACTGAAGACACGATTTATGTCGAAATAGTCATTGCTCCATTCGCTGAATTCTTGATTGAGTGTATATGAGTTACCTATTACAGAATAAGAAATCATTCTAAAAACTAGTGACTTCAAACATCAGTCATGATGATTTTTATCTCTTGGTTTCTGTGGGTTAGGATTTCGAGGGCTGCTCAGGGCAGTTGTGGCTCAGGGTCTCTCAGTGTCAGTGAGGTGTCACTGAGGGCTGCATCATCTGAAGGCCTGAGCGGGGCTGAAGGATCCACCCCCAAGGTGGGTCAGTCACATAGTTGTCAAGCATGACAACTCACGTAGTTGTCACTCACATACTGGCTGGTGACTGGGGTCTCAGTTCCTTTTTCGGTGGGCCTCCCCATGAGGCTGCCAAGTGTCCTGATGGCATGGTAGTTAGCTTCCCCTGGAATGAGCAATTCGAGATGAGGGTAAAAACTGCAATGCTTTTTATGACCTAAGCTCCACAGTCATACACTGTCACTTCTGATATATCCTATTAGTCACACACAGCCAGGCCTAAAGCACTGTGGGAGGGGATTACACAAAGCATGGATACGGGGGGGTGAGGATCATTGGGGTCCATCATGGGAACTGGCAACCATAAGAAGATGGAGCACCCATTGTGAACTAAACACTATGATGTCTATAGGGAATACAGGAACCAGGAAAGATAAGATAACTGTGTCTTGGAGCTGACATTCTGGTGGGGGATCTTGAGCATAATCAAGCACATTTTTTAAAAAAATTATAGATTGTAGTCGTGCTACACGGGAAAAAAGCAGGGTGATGAGTGTAGCTAAGGGAGATTACTTTTAATAGCGCAGTCAGGGAGAACCTCTACACAGTTTCAGCTGAGCCCAGGAGAATAAGAATGAGCCACGTAAGACCGTTTCAGGCAAAAGGAACAGCAAGTGTAAAAGCTTGAAAGCTTAGAAAGGGCTCAGAATGTTTGAGAAGCAGAAAGGGGACCAGCGTAGTTTGGTGGGCGTCAGCGAGAGAGAAAGCGGTAAGATGTTTGGATTCTGTTCTAAGAGCAATGGGAAGACTTGGAAGGACTTTGAAGAAGAACGACATATCATTTTTACTTTAAAAATGTCACTGGCTGCTGTTTAAACCAGAGATGGCAGTAGCTGGGACCTGCGGGGAAGATGAGAAGGAGTAAATGGATTCCACAGGTATTTTGGAGGTGACATCAGTTGGACTTGGTGATAGATCTGATGTCGAGTGCATTTTCATTCATTGATCTGTATTCTTTCAGTAAATAATAAAAGCCTGCTTATATGCCAGTCAGTGTGCCAGGTTTTGGCGATACAATGCGAAGCAAAATAGACGCTAAATTTCTACATTCAAGGATCTTCGGTGGGGAAGCAGCATAGAAATAAGCATGACTATGCACCTGTCGCAAATGCTATGAAGCATGTGGCAAGTCAGAGGCGTCCCTGAGGCACGGAGTCAGGAAGAGCTTGCCAGAGAGCACGGCATGTGCAAAGGCCCTGTGAGAGGAGCAGACAGTCTGAGGAACTCAAAAAATAAACAGGTGCCGGAGCCCAGAAATCAGGAAGGGCAGAGCAGCGCGCGGCTGGAGAGCCAGCAAGAGCAGGGCTCTGCGGGCCATCGTCAGGTGCGGGCCTCTAGTCTGAGAAACCACTGAAAGATCTGAAGGAAGGCGAAGGCGACGTGATTAAAACTGCATTTTGAAAAGCTTATTCTAACTGTGGAGAAGAAAAGGCAGGCAGAGTGGGCAGTGGAGTGGAGTGGAGTGAAGGTTGAATGCGGGAGTCAGGAGGCAATTTGAGCGGTTAGGGCTGAAGGCTCTTAACCTCAGCCTCAACACTTAAAAAATTCACATGCCTAAGACGGACCCAGTACCAATGAAATCAGCATCTCCTGGCGAGGGGGAGGGCATCCCAGGCATTATTAATTTTTAAAGCTCCCAGACAGTTCCACTGAGCAGCCATGCTTAGGAGCCAGTGGCTTAGGCGACTGAGGGTAGTGGCAGCAGTAACGAGAATTAGGTGGATTTGAGAGACGCTTACGTGGCTATTATTTTGTAAGTGACAGTCAAGTCCGGCAAAAGGCTGATCAGCAGGAGACCTAAAAGAGAAATGCTACAAATCCCGGCATGGAAGGAAAAAGGAGCAGGGACTGAATTAAGCGTTTGTTTAAATCAAGAAGCTGACTTCTTGAAGGAATCTTCGGGCGAAGGGCTTGTCACAGAATACGATAAAGTAACGTTATGTTCTTTATCAAGGCATAGGGTTTTTTCATGTGACCTGTTTTTGACCAGTCTTTGTGATCAGATTTTAAGGACAAAGCATCTGTCTAGATTACCAATGATTTGCATTTCATGTTCAGTTCTTATTTCTTATTTGGGAATTGTTAAAGAACGGGTTAAATATAGATCATAATAGATCACGGTGATTGCTTAAGAAATTCTTCCTCAGTAAAATTCTTTCTCAGCACCTAGGGGTTCATTTATTTAGAAAACGTTTATTAAGCACTGACTATGTGCAAGACATATGTCAAAGTGATAATATTAAACAATATTAAGTCATTAAAGCATTTGGACTGCATGGGCTTCTTTAGCAAGTTGGTTAAATTTTCTCTGTGGTTCTCAAATACTACTTCATTTTATTTTTCAATGATGACTTTTAAAGAAGTCACCACCACAAATCCACATGAATGATCATTGCATTTTGTCAAATGGTAAGGAAATTTTTTTAAAAAATTATTTCATACATTTTTTCCACCCCCAAGTGTGTAGAGCATATTTCAGGCATGAGAGCATCCACTGTCTGCAGGCATATATCCTCACTAAGTGGAATGGCAGAAGGAATCCTCCAAAATCTGTCGTGTGTCCTCAGAACATTTATTGTGGAATTTATCTTGTTAGATGTATGATTCAGCTCCACTGTAACTCCTATAACAAGGATTCCTCACACTTTTAAACCACTTTAATGTATTTAACATGTTTCCTTGGAATACAGTGGAATCCTCCAGAAAGTCAAAGCTGCTACTTAATTCCATAATAAGCCGTGAGAAGTCATATGGTTACTGACTCCACACGGGATCACAATTAGAGTTTGAAATCTTCCACGGTGGCATGTCTAGTCATTCTCTTTGAGTTATTGAAATGTTCTCCATTCTTAGTATCAAGAAATGTTTATTTCTTTAAATACTATGGAAGTGCAGTGGAAAGTGGATAGAACCGTAAAAGCTTAGGGACTTCGGGGCCTGGTAATCCTCGGTCGAATGGGGCCTCCTCCTCTCACACGTCCTGCCAGATTAGGTAAATTAATTATCCCTTTGAGCCAGTGATAATACCAATAGGCCTCTGAGGGTTACTGTGAGTACTGGGATTAATGTAAGTAAAACACGTAATACAGTGCACAGCGCTGTACATAACAGAGTTTTGTTACGGTGCCGTCTGACACACTCTGGTCTTTGGTTCGTTAAGTGCAGATGCAATGATTGCTGTATTCAACTCTAGCCCTCCCTAAACTCTTATCCTTAGATCAGCAGAACCGTTAGTGATTGTAGACAAGAGGTCCTAAGACAGGACGGAACGCCACTGGGTGTAAACTTGGGGATCTTGTAGATTGATACGAAGATGTTCCAAAGTGGCCCACTTATAATGTAAGGCTTAAAAGGTTTGGGGGCGTCTAGAATTAAGATGTTAAAATGCAAAGTTATGTGATTCATTTCATTTTATTTACATTTTGATATAATTCGATGAGATGCCTCTTAATCAGAGATTAACCACAGAAATAACTTTTTGACTAAGTCCTTTTTTCCACATCTTTGAAATATTTTCCTTTGTCTTAAATCCCATAAATTATTTTTGTTATTGCACACAGTTGTTGTTGAAAGGACAGCCTGTTCAAATTTAGGAATGAATAGTCTTAAAATAGATCATTAATTTGTTTTAAATTTCAGATTCGGGCCAGATATCAGCCACAGTTTCATCGAATCCTAGACCGCTTTATTCACTGCCAGAGCTCTACTGCTGTGAAGCGAGGTGGTGTTGAAATAAAAGCTTTTAAACTAAGTAACTAGAGCATTTGAACAAAACTACGTTTGGCATTCATAGGTGACTCTTTGACTAAAGCAGTGATAACAGAGCTACTTTTAATTGAAGTATGTACCAGGGTGGCTGCAATCCTACAATATTTATATATTGCAAATTCTTTTCAGATTAAATTGGTCAGCCTAGGACAGGGACTCAAGGTCCGGCCTTAAGGGGACTTGTTATCTGTTCTTAGCCCCACTACCAGTTTTGTCGACGGTGCTGGTAAACCATCCTACATTTAGTTCAGTGATTATACATGGAACCAGGTGAGAATATCATTGCATCTGCTCGATAATTACATCAGTGATGGAAAAGAAAAGGAACCTGGAGATGCAGCCAAGGAAGAAAACTGCTGGCACCACGGACTCTGAAGGTGCCCTGGGTGCAGAGACCTAGAGACGGCATAGAGCTGCAGTGAGATGTAGGACTGGAAAAAAATGAATCGATCAAAAGTCTATACAGAGCAGTTTTACCATTCGTATCTTGGCAAGAAGAAAGCCTGACAACTAGGCATTGACTCCCGAAGCCAAAAGCTAGAAAGTCTTCTCTAAAGAAATGAAATGATCCTGAAGAAAAGACTCCTACACTCTGGCCCCGAGAAACTATACATCATACTGGTTGGTTTCCAACTCAACACCCCAAAGGGAAGCCTACCAGTTAACAAATTTCCCCCCCAAACGACAGAGTTTCATAGAGCTATCGATTGTCTTACTCTTAGATGTGAAGAGCCAACCGAGGATCACCGGAAAGCTGAAAAAATAAGGCAACATGAAAGACAACGACCAAAATAAATGGAAATAATCCCAAAGGAAACAGAATTTAGGGAACACGAAAGAAACTAAAACAAGCTAGCAAAATAACTTTATCATTTGACAAGGGACGTGTCGAAAATAATTATACCCATAAATTTAAAAAAGCAGTCTTCCACACAAAGCTCTTGGAAATGAAAAATATAATTACTAAAATTAAAAATTTCACAGGATTGGAGGAAAATTGTGAAACACTCTATATAGAATAGGAAGGCAAATATATAAAGATTTTTAAAGGGAAGAGACATAGAGTAATAAATCAGGAGGCCCACCATCTCACTAACAAGCATTCTAGAGACAGAAGAGAAAATTAGAGTAATTATCAAGGAAACATTTTCACAGAGCTTCAGACCAGAAGCCCCCCACTCTCCCTCTTATTATTGATTTCTAGCATCGTGCCACTGTGAGCAAAGAAGATACTTTGTAGGATTTCAATATTTTTAAATCTGAGACTTGTTTTATGACCTAACATGGTCTATCTTGAAGTATGTTCTATATGAACTTGAGAAGAATATGTATTCTGCTATTTTGAGGTGGAGTGCTCTGTCAATGCCTGTTATATCTAGTTGATTGGTAGTGTTGTTCAAGTCCTCTATTTCCTTCTGGATCTTCTGTCTAAATGTTTTATAAATTATTGAAAGTGGTGTATTGAAGTCTCCATCATTGTAGAACTATCTCTATCTTCAAACCTGTCAACATTTGCTTCGTATATTTGGGAGATCCGTTTTGTGAATATACAATTGTGACATCATCTTGATAAATTGACCTTTTAAATACAAAATGTCCTTTGTTTCTTGTAATAGTTTTTGACTTAGTTTTTTTTTTTAGCGATATTAGAATATCTTTTTCTATTATTTCAATTTCAACCTATTTGTATTCTTTCGACCTAAAGTGAGCCACTTTTAGACAGCATACAGTTGGATTACACTTTTTTTAGACCATTGTTCCAATCTTTCTTTTTTGATTGTAGAGTTGAATCCATTTACGTTTAGAATAATTAATGATAAGGAAGGGCTTACTTTTGCCATTTTGCTATTCGTTTTCAGTCTGATACTTCTCCATTATTGCCTTCTTTTGTGTTTAGCTGATTTTTTTTGTAGCGGTTTTGATCCTTTATCATTTCCTTTTGTGTATATATTTTTTTAGTGGTTACCATGGAGATTACAATTAACACCTTAAATTTATAACAATCTAATCTTGGTTGACACCAACGGAGCACCAATAGTGTACAAAAGCTCTGCTCCGTCCCCTCCTTTATGCTACAGTTGTTATGAACTACATTTTTTGTAGTGTGCTCAATAACATAAATTTATAATTTTTTGATGCATTCGTCTTTTAAATCATATAGAAAATAAAAAGTGGAGTAACAAACCAGAAACATATGAATATTGGCTCTTAAAACAGTTGCCTTTACTGGAGATTGTTATTTCTTCATTAAGCTTCAGATTACTGTCCAGCTTCCTTTCATTTCAACCTGAAGGACTCCCATTAGCGTTTCTTGAAGGCCAGTCCTGTACGTAATGAAGTCTTTCTTCTTTTGTTATTCTAGGAATATCTTCATTTCCCCATTTTTGAAGGATAGTTTTGCTGCACATGGCAATTCTTGGCTGAGGGAGGGGTTGTTTGTTTTAGCACTTCAAATAAATATCATAATGCTTTCTGGCCTCCATGGTTTTTGATGAGAAATGTTATTAATTTCACAGAAGATCCTTTATAGTCACTTCTCTCTTGCCATCTTCAAGATTCTGTGTTTTTGTCTTTCAGCTGCTTGGTTATGTGTCTCAGTGTGGATCTCTTTTGAGTTTATCTTACTTGGAGTATGTTGAGATTTTGGATTTGTAGATTCATGTTTTTCATAAAAATTTGTAAGTCTTCTACCATTATTTCTTCAAATATTCTCTCTGCTTCATTCTCTCCTCCCCTCCTGGGACTCACATCATGCATATGTTACCCACTTGTCAGTGTCCCACGGTCCCTTAGGATCTCTTCACTTCCGTTTTTCCTTCTGCTCCTCAGACTCAATAATTTCAATTGTTCTATCTTCAAGTTCACTGATTCTTCTGCCTGCTCCACTTATCTGTTGAACCCCTCTAGTGAATTTTTTCAAATTTGTGTTTTGTACCTTTTTTGTAATTTCTCTTGATTAATATTTTCATTTTGTTCATACATCATTTTCCTGATTTCCTTTTGTTTTGTTCATGGTTTCTTGGAGCTCTTTGAGCATATGTAAGATGGTCGATTTAAAGTTTTTGTCCAATAAATCCAATGCCTGGGCTTTCTCAGTGATGGTTTTAATTTTTCCCTGTAAATATATTATACTCTGTTTCTTTGTGATTTTTTCGTTGAAAAATGAAAATTTGAACATTATAATATGAGAACTCAGGAAATCATATTCTCTCCATTCACCAGAGTTGGTTGCTCTTGATTATTGAAGGCTAGTGGCATCTGTTTAGTGATTTTTCAAACTATTTTTTACAAAGACCGTGTTCCTTGTCATGTTGGTCACTGACATTTCTGTTCCTTTAGCTTGTGTTCAATTAGCGTTTTGACAGAGATATTCTTGAATGCTAGAAGCTAACACACACACACACACACACACACACCTAGTCTTAACAAATTGTCTCTGTGCTGAACCTAGAAATCAGTCAAAGATGAAAGCTTAGAGTTTTAGAGGCCTTTTCTGAGCATGTCTCCCTCCCTAAGCATGCACGTGGCTTTCTATATTCCCTAGTATAGACAGGCACTTTTGAATGACCTACTTTCTCACAGAAATGCTGCCCTGTACTTCCTCCTTGGCTTTAGATTGTCTACTATATGCCTCGACTGGGAGTCTTCATTTGCCTTACAATATTTTCAAGCAATGCCTAGTACTTTCCACCCTAGTTAAGGTCCAAGTTAGACAAAACAGAGGTAAGTGTCTTGTGACAATCTTGCAGGTAGCCCAGACGGGTTTAAACAGAAACACATAATAATTTACATATCAGGTGTTTTCTGCTCCCTTTCTCCAGGACCAAGGACCAGGATCACATGCTGAGAACACAGGTTACTGCCTTCCAGACCGCCACTGAGCTGGGGAGGAAATGGGCAAGGGCAAGGAAAAATGCTACAAAGCTTCCCTACTTCTTCTAATTTGCCTTTTTCTTGATTCAGCATTTGCTTGGATGCTATAAACCTGTCCAGAGTTCTGACAAAGATGGTTCTGAAAATTCCTGTTTTTTGTTTTTATGTTTCTGTAGAGGGATGGGGTGTTTGAAGCTGTGTATTCAGCCATTTTCTTGATGTCACTTGAAATCCTAAAACTTATATAAAATACAAAGGACCCAGAATAGATAAAATAATTTTGCCAAAGACCAAAGTTAGAGGGCTTACACTTCCTAATTTTAAAACATACTATAGAAATTTCCAGTCAAGATGGTGTAATAGGTAGACGCTTTGCTCGCCACCTCTCATGATGACATCATGGCTAAACTACAGAACAACCATCATTGGGAACCACCTCAGGTTTGGCTGAACAGAAGTCCTACACCTGGGGACATAGAAAAGAGGTCACCTCAAGACTGATAAGAGGGGTGGTGATGCCAAATGGGCCCGTCCTACACCTGCGTATGGTGGTTGAAAATCAAGAGAAATATTTCGGCTATGAAAGTCCATCCAGGGGAGCGAGGAGTCCCAGCCCCCCACCAGGTTCCTCAGTGCCGTGAAGAGAAGCCCCACAACCTCTGGATGTGAAAACCAGTGGAGATTATGGCCGAGTGAGACAGAGAGGCTCAGGAGTCACAGGCATTCCCCTTAAAGGGCTCGCACACGGACTTACCATTGATGGACTCACTCGCTCTGAGTTCCAGCGCTGGGGCAGCAGTTCAAAAAGTGCCAGGGACACACGAGGAGGAACTGAGTTGTTGGGCTTCAGGGCGAGGGCTGGAGGGGCAGCTTTCTCCCATACAGAAGTGCTGTAGAAGCCATGGTTCCTTTGCTGAGCCCTCTCTGCCTGGTGTACAGACCCAAGCAGCCACCATATCTCAGTCTCCACCAACCTGGCTAACAGAGGTTGACCTGGCCAGGTGAGTCTCTAAGACCCCACCCCTCCCAACTTGAGGGCCCACCCAAGCTGCCTCCAGTGGCTTTTCCATACAAACAACCTGTCTTGGGT